AATTCTACTTAGTACCTGAATAAAGTTCCAGAGATAGACTGTATATTCTACTAAATGGTATGTATTTTTTTCTCCTCAAGTCCATTATTTAGCAAGCTATTATCACAGTACAAGGATTAAAGCACATACTGCAATGATTTTAAAATAAATACTTATTTAAATTTTAGAACTTTTCTTTTTGCTGTTGTATTTGGTATCTGTATGCATGTGCCCTCATTTCCACCAAATGATTTACTGACAGGAATATCTAAGCATAAAGAGAATAGGAGGCTAATATTCAAATGTATTAATGGATGAACTTTTTAAAGTAATAAATATTAGTATTCATAATGAAAAATAATTTTAATAGTTATATTTCTCTAGCTAAGGAAAGCAAATGTGTTTCTTCTGTGCAATCTGAATCAGCTAGCACAGGTAGAATTTCATATACTGAATCCCCAAGAGAAAACTGCTTATTATTTTTGGTTATTGGATAGTGAATATTGTTTCTGACATTCATATTAATAAGTTTATCTACATTGGGGAGTTTAGGAATGCGTCGAGGAAAATATACACATTGTTTGCACAGCTTATATTGTGCAACCCGTTTTGGTCATCAGGTACAGACTGGAGAATGTCTATGCCCATCCAAAAAAAAAATACTATAACGTTTGGATCACCCCACTACATAATTAGAACATGTTACACGTTGTACATATTAGCAGTACGTTTAGTTGATCTGCAAGTGTGTAAAGACTAGGTTCTGTTGTGAATCAGCAATAGGAATTGTCTTCTACTGAAGGTGCCAGAACACAAACGGATCAAGAGGTCACACTTGCTAAGCAGCTGCCTGCCTTGGAAGGCCATTCCAAGCTAAACTCGACTGTCAGCTTATAACACCATAAAATAGTTTCCCTATTTATTAAGCAACCTAAAGTAAACAACTGGAAGCCATATACCCCAATGAAAAAACCCTCAATAGCCTAAGATACTGGAGAACTGATGCTTTTTGCAAGAACAGACATGTTTGATGGAGAAATTCACTCTCTTCCCAGTCGAACCAAAGTCCTGAAATCTTGCTCATTTCGTTTGTGGTTGCTTATTTACTTTTCTGCTTGCATTTTCAAAGAATGTGAAGCCATATAACACGGCTAATCGGGACAGGCTTTCAGAATCCTACAGTTTGGCACTTGGAGACTTCCTAGATGTTGCTGGGTTTTTGGCGCTACTGTAATTGCTTGGAATTGCTCCGTTTGATGTGCTAGGTATGGAAATGTCTTCTGCCTCAGTGTTTCTTTCCAGTCAGGTTTTTTGCTTTACCATTGAGCATATGCGACAATGACAAGACATCTCAAGTGGTATTTTTGTATTCCTGCAGATCTATGTTCCTTTCTATATGACTTCATTGCTGAAACCTAATCATTACCTTTTCATTCTTACTGCTCTATCATAAACTGTTTTGTTTAGTCTGACAGTAATTTAAATACTGGAAATCCATTTTCTATTGCAAAACATTGAAATTCAGCTTGAAAAATAGTCTTCTTCTTATAAATATGTCCAGAGGGTATTGAAATTAATGTCAATAATTTATTATTTTATTTTTTAAAATATAATTGCAAAAGCTTGGTGCTGTTTGGAGGACTACTTTGTTCTGAACAAAATAAAGACCAAAGAGCAGCTATATACTGCAAAACTGAGTAAGAGGATGAGGCACACACGGAGCATTAAGTTAAAAAAAAATATCCAGTTCTTTTGTGCCTGGGTGGGAGGGGAAAGGGAAGAAATACTAGCATATCTTTTTAAAAGTAATTTGTTCCACCAGTAGTACTGGCCACCCTGTTGAAGAGTTTTAGAAGATCCCTGAGCATGTTAGTTTCTGACTCTTAACCCCAGCTCCAAAATGATAGGGCTTCTGTTGTTGGTAACAAGATGGATTGTCATTCACAGTTAAGTCAATCATAAGGTGCTTGTCTATTTACCCTTTTTTTCACCAATCAGCACAAAGAACTGTCAGAAAATAACTTTTATTTTTCTATTTTTTTTTAAATAATAAAAGGGCACAAAATTTAAACAATCAATGTTTTGTGACAGTGGTTTAGGATTATTATCTGGCTGCCTCTCAACAACAGACAGGTGATTCAATCGACATTCCTTAGCAAAAAAAAATTAAAAAAAAAAAGAAGAAGAAAAATCCTGTACAAATATGTATTTTTCCCTGAGGGATCAAGGTTACACCCGCAAGTGCTCTATGTACATATTGCACTGTAGAGGAATGAAGAACATGTGCAAAAAAAGCAACAATGATCAAAGCTTACTAATCAAACCTTTTAATCGTGACTGCTATGTCATCTTGCATTTTGGAATGTCGGAACACAGCTATTCCTTTAGTCTAAAATGTAAAAAACAAAACAACAACAACAACAACAAAACAAAAACAAAAGAAAAGAAAAACACACCTCTACTATGGCACATTCAATGAAATAAAAAGTTTTCCAAAGACAAATAGACAAATTCTGTCAAGAAAATAATACAAAGTTCGTTCGTTTGTTTTTTTTTCAGTTTTTTAGAAAAATTACATTACTTTCTTTCATTGTTTCACATTACAAAATCTTTTTTTTTTAATGTTTACACAAATCACATTTTATTGCAGGAATATTTCAAGTGCCATCAAACATTTATAGAAGGGTTAAAAAAATAGAAGTCTCTCTAAAGTGGTCCAGACAAGGCTTTGTATAGAATAAATCTTTTTTCCACCTTCTATTTTTGACTTAAGTATTTTGAATACATTTTCTTTATTCCATTGACACTTAACAGCCTAGAAGCAGCCACTCGCACATACCCACGCATATATTCATGTGTGAACACAAATGTACTTTCTCACATACACACACACAGGTGCACATACACACACAGATATCTTGGTATCCATACTAAGATACATAAGCTTTAATAAAGAACAACCAAACTTAAAAACAGCCTCCCTTTTCACCTAATCCCATAGTTTTTAAAATGTCAAACAATGCCGGAGATGTTGAAGTAAATTAAGGTGGTTCAAATGACAGTAGAGCAGAGTATCTCTTTCCTAGAAAGCCAGGAAACATCTCTTTGGATAGATACCACACCCAATGAAAATCTCTTTGCAGACTCTAAGGAACAGATCATTCAGAACCAACATATTCCTTTATCTCCGGCTATCCTGATGGTTTTGTTTGTAGTGCATTGGGCATATTATTAAAATACATGAATATGCATTGACCTCAAATATGTTTTTGAACTCAATATTTAGTTGATCATCGGATACCAGGCCATAGTCCCAGAGGTTTTGCAGAGTGCATTTCCTCTGCCACATGAGGTTCTTACACGGCCGTCGCTCTGACCAGCCACTCTTGAGGTTACTCTACGTCCCCTTTCATAAAAGCCGCTTTGGCAACAGTACGTCTGCCATGCTGTATCCCCTTTTTTCACCTCTCTACAAAGAGCAAAACAAAAATAATGTTCTGTTGCCAAGTGGCTGTTCACTGTGATCAGGAAAGCAGAGTTAGTTGGGGTGTGTATGCACAGCCTGATTTAACAAGGTGCCAGTACACAGGACCTCCTACGGACAGAAACAGCAGCACTTTCTGGCCTGGAAGATCACGTCACAAGTTGTTTACAGATGCAAAGGGCTTTCAGCTAAGGCCCTGTGTGGAACCTTTTTATGGTCCTGTATTTTATTAGTAAATGCTCCAAAAATCTGTGTTGTCAGTGACTTACAGGTGTAGATATGCTGAACTAGATACCAAACAAAACCCTGGGCACAGAGATGCCTGGTAGAATATTAATATTCATCAGGAAAAGGTAAGAAAATGATGTGATTGCAAAGTATTCCCAAAATATTTTTCTTAGTAGTCTTTGTTGTTGATAGAAGTAGGAGCTGCATCTCACTTTAAAAGGTCTTACCTCATTATTCATTAGTTGACACTGAAATTAAGTTTAGTTGATCTTTACAGGACTAGCACCTAAGGCTGGTCACATTCAGAAAACATTTGTTAGTTAAAAGGATTGCTTTAAAAATAGGAACACACATTAGAATGAAAGTACCATATCGTGGCAGGTACTCCAATAACGTAAACAATGATTCCAGGAAAAGGGCTTCAGTGAGACTGGAGAGAGCACGTGCTGCGCTGTGAGCCACCTCTTCAGAAGCAGGCAGAATGGAGCAGTAAAAGGATGGCTCTGTGGACTTTTTACAGAAGCCCTCTCGTGCCTCCATCCCAGAGGCTCACGGGGTGCAGGTGTTCCCCTCCCATACTCTGGGGGTGCACTGCTTTGAAGGGGAAACATATGATGCTCATGTCCCCCTCCGTTCAAACCATACAGATGAGCGATAGCTGCAAACTTCCCTGATATGGCAGACTACAAAATTTTTCGTAGGTGTCATAGCTAAATGTCTCAATTTGCCCCTAAAGGAAACATATTCAAATCATAGAATAAACCTCTATTTTGCTTGTAATATCCCACTGACCTAATTCTTCTTGTAAAAACTGTTAGGCTTCAGTGTGCTTCTATTCACTTGTGATACTTCTCAATGAGTATATGTAAAAGATTGTTTATCCTTGGAAATTAAAGCAGTGGAGAACATTCTTTCTCATTCTTTATCATCTTTTAAGATCTTGTCTCTTTCTTATGTACTTCACCATAAACTTCATTTGTTTAGACCTCCAAGGCATCCAGTTATATATCCTCATCTCTTCCAAACCAATTATGTAGCTCTGGCTCCAACAGCCGCAGTTTATTTTGTGATGTCATTTATTGTGAATCTGCTTCCTTCAGAACTAGGGTTTACTTGCCAGGTTTGCTTAGAGACAGCATTCTTCCTAAAGGGAATGGTAGTTAATAATAATAAAGACTGCTAGATGCGTCTTTTTGGTTGGTTGTGCAATATGGGAGTCAATTTCAGAACACAGATTTATGGTATTAATGATTTCCAGGCATTATACAGAGTACAAAATGCTTTCTAACAACAGTGTGCCTTTACTTTGTTAGTCTGTACTCATCTGATAAACTCTAAAGTGCATCTTTTTAACTGTGGAAAGCAATGGACTTCTCTGTTCAGCTACCTGAAGTTGAACTGCTGCATGCTTGGAAGAACGTGGCTTAGAGTCTCATCTCACTGAAGTCAAAGACAAACCTCCTATGGATTTTTATAGGTTAGAGTTTGGGGTTTGAAGGCATTGTTTACGATATGGAGTACAAAAGTATGTAATATTATGTGTAAACATTACTTTTCCACATACGTGTCATACACACATACTTTTACTGTAGATACAGACTTGAGTCCAACCTTCAAACCTGGATTTACAGTGGGCAGAATTACACTTTCCTTATTAGCCTGATTTTCAAGGATGCTGTGTTACTCATTTGTAAATTGTCTGTAATTGCCTATTAACTTCGACCATGGACACTCGACACCTTTGAAAATGAAGCTTTTGACTTGTGCACCTAAATCTGAATTCAGGCACATAATTATAAACATCCAGGTTTGAAAGATTTGGAAATAGAAGTACCTTTGAGACTGACAGCTAACAAGCCGATTTTAATTTAGAGAATTGTCATGATTTTCAACTCTTTTAAAAAAATGTGTGTAACCATTTCAGGATATGACCAGCCTCTCTTTAAAAGTAACATGGAAAACAGCAGCATAAATACCTCCCAATGTACCAGTACCTGCCAAACCTTTTTCAGTTAAACTTGAATTTCTGGTGCACATGCAACACAACAATGAACACGCTAGCATTTAATTTAAAGAAAAAGGTGCAAAATGAAAGTGCCTTATCAATTCAACAAGAAAAGCTATACCAGTAACTACATTTTATATTAATTAAAACAATATATAAACAATATCTCTTTTGCTATATATAGTCTTCATGCCCATTTACCCTGTAATATATTATAATGCTATTGTTGCTATTGCTATGGACCCTTTTCATGCCGTTCTGTCTACTGGCAAACAGTGGTAGGTGAAAAAATTCGTCCTTCATGAAACAATGAGCAAGTTGTGCAAACTGATGCTGAAATCTCTGCAATGCACACCAGTCGCTGATTACTAGGTGGACTCTCTGTTCTGATCAACAAATTGATTGTTCTGTCAAAAGTCTGGGCAGTGAACTACAAGAGAAAACAACCTTCTGACATTAGTACCCTCAGTCTGTGTAAACAGAGGTCAAGGATTGAGAAATTGAGACAGAAAAAGGGTCCATATTTGTAGGCATAATGGAAATCATATGCATGAGAAAAACAAGTTCAACTTTGTTTCATTGTTTCCCATCCTTCGCCTGACCCCGACCGCCAAGAGATGTGCAGTGTGTTGGCTCCCTAGGTCTGTGCAGGGCCATATAAAGTGTCTTGGTTTTCTTTCTTTTTTTTTCTTTTTTTTTCTTTTCCTTTCTTTTGTTTAAATGTTTGTACATCAGACATTCTAGAAGTGCTTAGGTGATACGTTTACCCATCAATTTGCATCGCTGGCTCAAATTCTGAAGTGAACAACTCCTTGTAAAGTGGAGGAAAATGAAGTCGTACAATGTCTGGGTATATTGCTTTAAATGCCATAAGCTTTTCTGTATGTCGTCCACACAGTGCTCTTAAAGTAGACACTTTGCATATTAACTGTAAAAAACGAACAGAAGTCACACGGTCATACACATGGAATCAGGCCTCCCTCTTAGGATCAAAGCTCTCTGAAACACTGTGAGTTCACCTCAGTTGTTTACCTTAACAATGACAATTCAGATACCTAGTCATGAGTGTTTGTTATGTTAGCTTAAAGAAAAAAAGCCACTAGAAATCTGTTTAAGTAATGGATTCATGCTATCTGTGAAACAATATGTGTGTCATGAAGTTTCCTCACTTCCTCCCAAGCACTGGATTGATACAGAAGTATTGCATGGCTGGACCTTCATTCATACCACTTGAGTCATTCTCTTGGAAGAAGACAGTCCTGACTCCCTTCAAACACACTGTGAATATTGTGGAGGGAACTGGCAATGCAATAGATTGGGCTTTTCTAATTTATGCCAAATGAGGTGAAAAGGAGCAGACCAAAAAAATGTGTACTTCAAAAATACCACTAGGGTACTCCTTGAACTTACTGAGTAAATTATTTGTATCAAAGCACATGGAAGAAACTTTCTCCCAACAAAGGTATCCAAAGTATAGGCTGGGAAAAGAATCACATGAGCTAGGATTTGAAATGAGGACAGTCTGCAGAGCCTGGGCTGGACCATCCTGCTTCTGTTGCGATGGGAAAGCAAGCATGAGCTTTGCAGCTGTGTAGAGTTCTAAAAGGAACCACCTCTGCCATGAAGTGCCTGTCCTTTCCTAGTTCTTCAGATTTATATTTTTAACACCACACTGCTATTCCTTTCTTGAAAACTTGAGATACTTTAGATCAGTATAACAGTATGTTGTATCTCTTTTCCCTAGGTGCCAATATTTGGAAGAACTGCTGAGAAAAGGGCTGCGTGGGGAACTTCTCATGGAAGACTGAAGAACAAGATCAGTTTGGATATTGCCGGTCTTAACAACTTAATTGTCATGCAAGCAGAGATTTCACGAGCATTAAGGCATGCACGTTGTACAACTGCGATAGTATTGTGTGGGGCAGAAATGTTGTTTAGGAGAAACCAGATAAAAACCATCACTTTTCACAAAGTTCCACCATTAAAATACTTATTTTTTCAGACCATTATCAACCCTGTTCCCTAGTACATCATCATTTCACCTCTCCTAGTTTTAAATGAATAGTTTCAGCTAAGCACCTTGATTTTGAACAAAGAATTCTGGGTTTATAAATAACAAATTAACTACGTAAAAGCTTTTACACCATAAGCAGGATACCATTCAGAAGCAGGGCTACTTTCACAGTCATGGGACAAGGCACAGCGTGATTCTTACCTTTGTTAGAATTCCGTCTTCTCGGTGGTTCTTCTGGAGGACGTGCTGCAGTGCCAGCTGGATCTTCTGTTGGAGTTTTTCAATTTTCACTTTCTCCTGAAGCCATGAGCGATCTAAATATAAATGGAGTTAACACCTCTGGTACTGCACACACCACTCACAGTGCACCAGGATGCACCAAGTCTGTTACAGGTTCATCTTTCTTGTGTGCAAGCTTCCTCCCACCTCTTACATACTCTTGTATAGAAAATGAGTTTAAATATTAGTAAATTTTGGAGGATATTACGTGCATTTAAAAAATACATTTATAAGCCCTTAATTAGAATAATGCAGTGTGTCTGAGTAAGATTTATTAATCATTTGCTAACAAGGTCTGTAAAATACAGGGTATTTACAAAATGAAGCTAGCAACTTTTTAGTGGGAAATAAACAGATCACATAATGAACAAGTAGTTGGAGTTTATCTTCTTGCTAAGACCTACAGTGACATACAGAAAAAACAGAAGCAAATATTCAGCTGTTAAAACAAAAAGCTCCCAAACTTCCTAGCAGAAAAGTAGTATTAGCTGCTATATCCTCTGTGTGGCAAAACTGGGGGATTCTGTGGCTCACATACAGGAGGGCACAGGGCTAACAGAATTCCCATCTGGCAAACAGCATGGGAACGTATTTACGACAGCCTCAATAAACCCACGGTTGCTAACAGACTCTTCCTCCACCACTTCCGAGTCCGCTGTGGTGCAGTCTAAAAACAGAGTGTTTATTTTCTTGGGTGTTATCCCAGTCATTAACTGACTTTCTGCACCGGTCTCTTTTTTCTCTCGACCTAATAAGCCTTCCCAGAACCCGGAGTACTGTGTGTATCTACTTGAGATTGTAAAGTTATTTTTATTCATGGGTATGGTAGACCCAGGCTGACTCTTGGGGTCACTTTTACATCTGGCACCATAATTCTCCATGTACCTAGGCTCATGACAGGGACAGACACCTAAGCTACCTCAATACCTTTGTACCACACTAAAATGACAACCTGCTTAACAGACCTGAGGTGGAGAGCATTCTGCTACCACTGCAAGCTCACAGACACTGAAAGCTGAATATATAAATTCAATGGCTACCTTTTGCCTGTCTCACTTAGACTGACCCAGTGGTCTCACTCAGACGCATTTAAGCTTTTGCAAGGAAGCTGAGTCCTCAATGAAGGGAAAATTTGTAAAACAAAGATTAGGATTTTCGCCTTAACAAACTTATTCCTAAATTTGTAGTTTTAATGTGTTTATGAAAATGAAAATTTTGGTCAAGGAGACACTCAAAAGGATGATGACATTTCACACTGTCTGTTAGTCTTTTAACATTATCATCAAAAAGACTTCAAAATAAAAACAACCTCTACCAAATAAACCTAGAGCAAACCTTTATCTCTTACCTGCTGACATTAAAACAAATGCAGAAAACAAAGCTATCTCATCTTCTGTCAGGTGCATAGAACACAAACTTTTCCCAAATTCAAACACAAAACTAATGAAGTCTTCACAACCTGCCAAAAAGAAGGTACAGCTCATGCCACATTGTTTGAAACTACTTCAGAGCTACAGAGTTGTTGATTTATTCTGATGGAAGTGAAAAATTGATGTAAAATACTTCACAGGTGTATGATCTCCTTAAGGACCGTGGAGTGATGGCAGTGAGATCTCACTCATACTTGAGCTTATTACCCCATTCCCACGAGTTCCCAGCTCCCACATCCCGGCAGCCCGCATTTTGAAGGTTTTACACACTGTGTCTTTTCCACATTTGGTTCTTTTGGGGTAAACCTGGATGAGACCCAGCCACTTTCTAGCTCAAAATTGGTTTAGCTTTATTTCTGTTCGAAGTGGAACTTTCTCATGTCACTGAGGACTGGAGGTTTGAAATGCGTACTTAAAAAGTGCTGATTTGAAGAGCGTTGAGCACGCAGAAGAGGGAGGGGACAGAGGCACACAAGGTACATGCAGGAGCAAAGGGAGAAGCCAAGGTCTGAAAGCTTTTCATGCAGAAAAGGAACTCTGTCTCATTTTATCCATTCCCTTGCTCATGCGGGTGTCAGTCAGGTTACTGCTGCTGTTACACATGCTGTTACGCAGTTCGCGGAGGTGAAGCCCTGCTCTGAAGGGGATCGCAACCTCATGGAAGAAGGCTCTCTCTCCTCTGCATATTTCAGCCTCAACCCAGCCCAAATTTCTGGATGTAGTTGGTAGCAGATGAAAGTTATGTTTCATTGGACCCACATCTGATACTGCACTTTCAGAGCTGTTTGCACTCAGACCTCGCACCTTGAGGTGTTTTAGAAAGGTATTGTACAGCATTCGCCACTGATATATTTTTGCTGCCCTCCAAAATGGTTTACATCCCAAACCTATGTCCAGTGAAATGCAGCATTTTTAAATTAGGAAAAATATACAGAAAAAAATTCAAAATACTAAATTGTGGTTTAATTGAAAAACTGATTTACAGTATTTTAGCTGCAAACAACTGGACTTTGCATATTGAAAACGCTGTTAACATCTTCAAAGCAGTAACACCAGTATATGCAAAATTAGCTTAAAATCTGCTGCCTTTTCCAGCAGGATATATAAAATGCTACACTAGATATGAAATCTAGGCTTCTTTTCTTAACAGGCATGTCTAAACTGCTCTACCCTGATCTAAGTGTTGAATTTCAACACCAACAGTCCTTTACTGCATGGACTTAAGCTGTTTTAACTCCTGAAATCAGCTTGGCCTCAAAAAGAACCAGCATGACTGCTTACAAAATAAGCAGTGTGAGCTTTGGTACTCCTTTATTTCAATACTATAGCTTGATTTTTTTTCAAAGCAGCTGTCCCCTTTTCCATTTTATAATTTTTATGCTATTGTTTTGTTGTGAGGTGGTTTTTTTTAAGATACAACACTTGACATTTCCTTACCTAAGGACTTGAAAACCTCTGGGCTAGCATACTTGCCATCAAAGTAGACTGTGTTGTTCTGGGAGTCAAAGGCACGGCACATTCTGATGAACACAACCTCTAAAGACCCTAAAACAGAAACAATGGATGTTTGACTATTTGAGACTTCAGTTGCAAAGCGCGAGGATTTAAATGTTTTTATGCTCTGCATGCAGTATCCATTGAGTAGGGTAGTAGGTTTCTGTGGTGGAACAGAGCATAGTTTGATTTGCCAGTAGAATTAAAGGAATTCCCATAAACTACCCTTCAGAAGTTTTTGCTACAGCAACTTAATGGTAATAAACTCTAATAATTTTTTTTATTAAAGAAGTCTCTAAAATCAAAGCAGCTCATTTAGATTTAAGTTCATAAAGCTTTGACACCTTTGTCCAGGATTTGTAAACTGCATTACTTCTACAACATCTTGCATAAAACAATCCAGATTTTTACCTTAAAATACATCACTATTCGTAAGCCAAAAGAAAAAATCTGAACCCAATTTTTCCATTTTTGCCCACTTATCGCTTCCTTTGTTTGTGATGAAAATGTCATATGTAGACTTGAATTCATTCTATCCAGAGTAACTAAGGAGGTACATTACTTCAGATGTAGAGACACAGGCAACTTGTAAGGGTTTTTCCCCCCCGTACTATTTTAAATGATCGTTATGCAACATACAAGTATACATACAATACATGGATATACCATCACTATACAGGTAACACCTTCCTCAGTCAAAACTCATAGAAGCAGACCTTAAAACTGACCCACATACCTGCTTTTAAAAGCACAATTTGATCGTTTTGACACAGTTCCATGAAGCCATCAATGCGTTTGGCAAATTCCACTACATACTGTATAGCTTCTGTTATTTTGACTGCGCATAACTGCCACATTACCTCCCTTTGCTGTTTGAGAGAGAAGAAGAATTGAAAAATTACTATTCCAGGTTTGGAAAGACCATTTTCATAAAGTGAAACGGAGGTGAAAAA